TGTAGAGAACAGTATAGCGTTTCCTCAAAAAACCAAAAATAGAACTAGCGTATGATCTCGCAGTCCCACTACTGGGTAAATAGCCAAAGGAAAGGAAATCAGTACATCCAAGAGTTGTCTGCACTCCCTGTTCATTGCAGCACTATTCACAATAGCCAAGCTATGGAATCAACCCAAGTGTCCATCAACAGATGAATATGGCTAAAGAAAATGTGGTTTCACACACACACACACACACACACACACACACACACACACAGAGTGAAATACTATTCAGCAATAAAAACTGAAGTCTTGTCCGCCATGGCAACATGGATGAGCCTGGAGGACATGGTGTTAAGTGAAATGAGCCAGGAACAGAAAGTTAAACATGTTCTCACTCACATGTAGAAGCTAAAAGGTTGATCTCATAGAAGTAAAGAGTAGCACCCAGGTTATTAGAGACTGGAAGGGGAAGGGGGATATAGGAGAGATTTGTTAAAGGACACAAAATTACAGTTAGGAGGAATAAGTTTAATGTTTTATAGTACTGTGGGATGACTACAGTCAGCAATATGTATTTTCAAATAGCTAAAAGAGAGGATATTGAATGTTCCCAACACAAAAAACGATCAATATTTTAGATGATAGATATGCTAATTACCCTGATCTGATGACTATACATCGTATATATAGAAACATCACCACATACCCCATAAATACATACAGTATTGTGTGTGAATTTCTTAAAATAAATAATTTTTAAATGTATTCATTTTATACTATCTCTTGAACACTGTTCAGCAGGGTATGGATTCCATATTGATGATTATATTCATAGCACTTAGAATATGTTGTTCCACTGTGTGTGGTCGTGATTGTTGCAACTGTGAAGTTTGCTCTCAATCTAATCCGAGTGTCTTTATAGTTATAACCTTTTAAAAAGTGCTTTTAGTGTTTATCTTTTTCTTTGATAATTTACAATTTAATTTTAATATTTCTTTTTAAAACAGTGTTATGAGGGATGATTGACAAACAATAAACCGCACATATTGAAAGTACAAAATTTGATGCATTTGATGTGTGTTTATGCTTGTGAAACCATCACTATAGTTAAGATAATAAACATATCCATCACCCCAGTCTCTACTTGTGCCCTTTGCAATCCTTCCCTCCAATTCTCCACCCTCAGCCTGTCCCGAGGCAACCACTGACATACTTTCAGTTATCATAGGTTAGTTTGCATTTTCTATAATTTTATATACCTGGAAGCATAGTGTATGTCCTCATACTTTTGTGGGGTCTGGCCTCTTTCCTTCAGCAAAATTATTTTAAGATTCATCCATGTTTTTGGCAGTGTCAACAATCCATTTCTTTCTATGGCTGAAGAGTCTTCAATTTTATGAATACACGCAATTTGTTAATGCATTCACGAGTTGATGAACATTTGGATTGGTTCCAGCTTTTGGTTATTACAAATAAAGCTGTTATAAACATTTGCATACAAACCTTTATATAGACATATGCTTTTATTTCTCTAGGAACGGAATGGCTGGATCATGTGGTAGGTGTATTTAGCTACTTAATAAACTGCCAAACTGTTTTCCAAAGTGGTTGTGCCATTTCTACTTTCCCGTCAGCAATGTAGGAGGTTTCTAATTTCTCTGCATCCTTGCTATCACTTGGTATGTCAGTCTGTTTAATTTTACACATTCTAGCAGGTGCGTAGTGGTATCACCTTGTGGTTTCAATTTGCATCTCTTTATTGAATAATGATAAGAAGCATCTTTTCATGATCGTACTTGCCATCAATATTTCTGTTCGTGAAGTGTCTTTTCAAATCTTTTGTTCCTTTTTTTTTTTTTTTGAGACGGAGTTTCTCTCTGTTGCCCAGGCTGAAGTGCAGTGGCGTGATCTCCGCTCACTGAAAGCTCTGCCGCTTCCTGGGTTAACGCCATTCTCCTGCCTCAGCCTCCCTAGAAGCTGGGACTACAGGTGCCCACCACCACGCCTGGCTAATTTTTTTGTATTTTTAATAGAGACGGGGTTTCACCGTGTTTGCCACTATGGTCTCGATCTCTTGACCTCGTGATCCGCCCGCCTCAGCCTCCCAAAGTGCTGGGATTGCAGGCGTGAGCCACCGCCCCAGGCCTTGTTCCTCTTTTTATTGAATGTTTGAATTTTATTATTGAGGTTCAAGAGTTTTATATGTTCTGCATAGAAGTCCTTTATAGATATGTGATTTAAAAATACATTCTCTTGATCTATGTCTTTTCATTCTCTTAATAGTGTATTTTGAAGAGTGGAAGTTTTTAATTTTGATGAAATGCATATTATCAATTTGTTCTTTTGTGAATTATGCTTTGATGTTGTATCTGAGTTGCAAAGATTTCTGTTCTATTTTCTTTTAAAAATTTTATAGTTTAAGGTCTATGACTCATTTGAATTAAAGTTTGTATATGCTGTGAGGTATGAATCAAAGTTCACTTTTTTGGGGATTCAGCATCATTTGTTGAAAAGACTATACTTTCTCCATCGAATTGTCTTTGTACTTTTGCCAAAAATCCATTGGCTCTATATATGTGAGTCTATTTCTGGAATCTCTATTGTGTTTCATTGATCTATTTGTCTATATTTATGGCAATACCATACTGTTTTAATATAGCTTTATATTTAGCCTTCAGATCAGATAAATAAGTCCTCCAACTTTGTTCTTCTTTTGCGAAGTTATTTTCACTGTTCTAGGTCCTTCATTTATTTTCCATATAAAACATAAAGTTCAATTATTGATTTTCATTTTAAAAATCCTTCTGGAATTTTGTTTGAGATTCCACTGATCTATAACTCAACTTGGGAGAATTGATAGCTTAACAACTTCAAGTCTTCCTATCCATGAACATGGTACATGCTCCATTTAGTTAGGTCTTCTTTAGTTTCTCTCAGCAATGTTTTGTAGTTTAAAATGTACAAGTCTTACACATGTTTTATTGGTTTATGGCTAACAATTTTATATTTGTTAATGGTATTGGAAATGATAACATTTTTAAAATTTCAATTTCTGATTGTTTGTTATATGTAAAAATATCATTAGTTTATGTATATTAATCTAGAACTCTGCCACTTTGCTAACTCACTTACTAGTTCTAGTAGCTTTTATTTCATGGATTCCATGGGCTGGTCTACACAGATGATAAGGAAAGTGTTACTCTTTCCAATCTAGTTGATTTATTTCTTTTTCTTGCCTTATTTCATGAGATAGAACCTCCAGTACAATGTTTAATAAAAGTGGTGAGAGTAGGTATCTTTACCTTGTTCTCAATTTCAGGAAGATATAGATTTTTGTTGTTGTTGTTGTTTGTGTAGATGGCCTTTATTCTATGAGGACTTTTGATTTTTTTCCCTGGTTTTCTGAGGGTTTGTAATCATGACTCAATGTTGGGTTTTACTAAGCGCTTTTTCTGTTGAGATGATCATGTGCATTTTTCTTTTTAGTCCACTAATATGATAAAGTTCATTTATTGATTTTTGAATGTTAAATCAACTTTATCTTCCTGAGATAAACTACACTTTGTCATGATGTAGATAAACTAGATTTACTAAAATTTTGGTAAGAATATTTTCATCATTGATTCTTATGTCTGTTTGATTTAGTAGGAAAGTAGCGTTCTCTTCATCAAATAAAAAAAGTACCTCTTCATTTTCTATTGTCTGGAAGGATTTGTGTAAAATTGTTATTTTTTCCTTAAATATTGTTAGACTTCACCATGAAAACCACCTGGGCCTATAGTTTTTTGTTTTTTTGTTTTTGTCATTAGTATTTTAACTAAAAACTTGATTTTGTTATTAGATACTCATGTTATCTATTTCTTCTTGAGTGAACTTTGATAGTTTATGGCTTCTAAGGAATTTGCTTATTTCATCTAAGTTATCAAATTTATTAGAAAAAAGTGGCTCACAACAGTCCATTGTTTCCTTATAATCACTGCAAATATTTGGTGACACCCACCCTTTCATTCCTGATATTGGTAATTTGTGCCTTTTTACCTTTTTCTTCACCAACTGACTAGAAGTTTAACAATTTAATTGATAGTTTAAAATGACTAGCTTTTACTTTCTTGGATTTTTCTTATAATTTTTACTTTTTTCTTTCATTTATTTCTGTTATTTTTGTTATTTTCTTTTTCAGCTTACATTGTGTTTAATTTGCTCTTCTCTTTTCAGTTTCTTAAGTGAAAAGTAGGTCACTGATTTGAGACCTTTCTTTTTTGTGATAACATAGGTTCTTAGTGCTTAAATTTGCCTCCAAGCATACATTAGCCGCATCTCCCTGATTTTGATATGTTGTGTTTTCATTTTCAACTCAAAGAACTTTCCAATTTCTCTTTTTATTTCTTATTTGAGAGATATGGTTTGGCTCTGTGTCCCCACCCAAAATGTCACCTTGAATTGCAATCCCCATAATCTCCAGGTGGCAAGGGTGCGACCAGGTGGAGGTAATTTAATTATGGGGGCAGTTCCCCCATGTTGTTCTTGTGATAATAAGTGAGTCTCATGCAATCTGATGTTTGTGTGTGTGTGTGTGTGTGTGTGTGTATTTTCAACCATTAATGTCCGCCCTTTAATGTTCCCACGAGGGCCGGGCCCAGGCAGAACCCATCCCAGCACCCCCACCTACACTCAGAGACCAGCGGTGGGGGCCCAGGATCACCCAGCCGCTGGAGGGCCACACACAGGGTCCATTCCTTTCTTGCAGTCCCCCAGCTAGACCCTCTCCCGAAAGCTGGCACTGTGGACCCCGGGGCCTGGGTTCCTTCTGCCCTGGAGGTTGGGGAAGTCCTGGATCAGCCAGGATGGGCGCGGGCGTCCTCTCCACTGTGTGCGTGTGTTGGGGGCATATGTAGATGTGTAATGAATGTGCGTTGTACACGTAGATAAGGGTGAATTCTGCATGCACTGGCTTCCTGAGGTCTGTACAGGAAGTGGCTCTGTGCCCCCCGCCTGGCCCGCAGGTATTGTTTTTCCTAGGCCAGGAAGTCCCCACCGAGAATCGGGGCTGTGGCTGCTACAGCCACATCTCGAGTCACCAGCAGGGGGTTCAAATTCTCGCAGGACCAGGGACCTCGGTCCCCAGGCCCCCACGGGCAGCCTCGTCCTCCTCCGCCCCGTCCCCAGGACCCTTGGGCCCCGGGGTTGCATCAGGACTGCTGGGAACCTTGGGGGTCGTGGGGGCCGGCTTCAGTTTGCTGTGGTTGAGAAGGACGGGGTTCGCCTTGGCCAGGGTCTTCTTGGCAGTTGCCATGCTGGGGGTTGCCAGCGGCTGCTGCTTCTCAGCCGGGACTTCCCTCTTCGAGGGCTTGGTCAAGGGGGCTTTCCCATCGGCTGCCAGGGGTACCTTGGCCTCGGTGGTGGCCTTGGGGCACCTTGGTGTCGGGCTTGGGGCTGCTGGCCGATTTCCCTCTGGACTCCGTGGTGGGCAGGGTGTATGGGACAGGAAGGTGGCTGCACCAGAGGGGCTCAGGACAGCTCGTCGCCCCTGGGCATTCTATGGGCACGTCCTCCGGCCTCGCCTGGGCTGCGCGCTCCTCCGCGGTACGACGGCTGCTGCGGACGCACAGGAGAGCTCGGAAGTTTCCGCAATCTGACGGTCTTACAGGGATCTGGCATTTCCCCTGCTGACACTCATTGTCTCTCCTGCCGCCCTGTGAAGAGGTGCCTTTAACCATGATTGTAGGTTTCCTGAGGCCTCCCCAGCCATACAAAACTGTAAGTCAATTAAACCTCTTCTGTTTATAAATTACCCAGTCACGGGTCTTTCTTCATAGCAGCGTGAGAAAGGACTAATACATCAAGTCACGGGTTATGTAGAGGTGTGTGCTATTCAGTTGCCAAATATTTTGAATTTCTAGATATCTTTCTGTTGTTGATTTCTAATTTAATTCCATTTTGGCTGAGAATTTGATTTGAATCTAGTCCATTTATTGAGACTTGTTTTATGGCCTAGAATATGGTCAATCTTGGTAAATGTTCTGTGTGTCCTTGAAAAGATTGTGTATTCTGCTGTTATTGGGTGGAGGACTGTATAAATGTCCGTTAGGTCAAGGTAGCTGATGGTATTGTTCGAGCCTCCTTTTTTTTTTTTTTTTATCTACATTTTTCTAATAATTACTGAGAATAGGGAGTTGAGAGTTGACACCTCTGTCTATAATTGTGAATTTATTTATATCTATTTGCAGTGTGACCAGTTTTTGCTCCATGCATTTTGAATATATATTATTATGTGGATACAGTTTAGGATTATTATGCCCTCTTGATGAATTGACCCTCTATCATGACATTACCTACCACTGATACTATTTGCCAGGAAATTTACTTACGTTGTGATTAAGATAGTCACTCCAGTTTTCTTTTGATCAGTATTAGCATGGTGCATTTTTTTCTAGCCTTTTACATTTAATCTGTTCGTAATTTTACAGTTAAAGTGGGTTTCTTGTAGTTAGCATGTAGTTGCTCTTGCCTTTTTGTCCCAATAAAACAATCTTTGCCTTTCAAGTATAGTATTTAGTTTTAATGTGATTATCGATGTGATGGGTTTAAATCTTCCACTTCGTTGTTTTCTATTTGCTTTTTTCCCTCATTTGCTTTCTTTCTTTCCTCTTTTTCCAACTTCTTTTGGATTAAATGAGTATTTATTATGATTTAGTTTTATCTTCCTTGTGGGATAATTGGTTATACATCATTTTTGTGTGTAGGTGCTTTAGGTTTTATAGGATACATCTTTAGCTTATGTTCTACCTATAAGTAATACTATACCCTTCATGTGTAGCATAAAATTCCTATAACAGTAATATTCTAGTTCTCTTGTCCCAGGGTCTGTGCTCTTGAATTATATGTTTTCTTTTTATACATGTGATAAGCCCCACAACACTGTTATCACATTTCCTTTAGTCAATATTTATATGTTAAATAACTTTACTATATTTTACGTGCATTCATGCTTAAACCCACAAGTTTACTGTTACTAGTGCTCTTTATTCATTTGAATGAATCTAGATTTCCATTTGCTATTATTTTTCTTCCTCATAAAGGACTTTATTTAATATTTCTTATAAGTCAGGTCTGACAGCAATGAATTCTCTTACCTCTCTTATGTCTCAAAAAGTCTTCATTTTGATGTAGTTTTTAAGTTTTTTTTTTTTTTTTTTTCCTGGGTATAGAATTCTAGACTGGCAGTTTGCTTTTCCCCTTTGTATTTTAAAGGTGTTTGTCCATTATCTTCTGGATTTTATTGTTTCTGATAAGAAATTTGTATCATTCTTACATTTGTACTATGTATATGTCTTTTTTTCTTTGCTTTTAAAGTTTTCCCTTGATTACTGGTTTTGAATAACTTGATTGTGGTGTTCCTTGCCGGAGTTTCTTCATGTTTTACCTCTACCCGGGGTTTATTTAGCATCTTGAAAAAATTTCAGCCACTACTTTTCCAAATATTTTACATTCCCTACTTCTTCAGGACTCCAATTACACATATATTAATCCATTTGTGGGTCTCCTGCAGGTCACTTTTTCTGTCTGTGTTTTATTGTGGAAAGTTTCTATTGCTATGTTTTAAGTTCACAAATCTTTTCTACCAGTGTCAAATATCCTGTTAATCTCACTCAGTGCTTTTCCCATCACAAGAATTGCAGTTCTCGTCAGCTAAAGTTTGGGATCAATCTTTTTTTTATATCCTCCATGTTTCTCCTTAACCTGCTCATGCCTTCCTCTATCTTCTTTAACATAAGGAACATATTTAAAACAGTTGTTTTAATTTCTTTCTTTAATTTATTAAATTAATTAATTTAATTTGATCATGTGTTGTTTCTCAGTCTGTTTCTATGGATGGACTTTTTCTTCTCATTTGACTTGTATTTTCCTGTTTCTTTGCATGCACGTCTGGTGACCTTGACAGGATGCCAGACATTGTGATTTTTCTGTTGTTGGTTGCTTAGTATTTGTTTTTACTCCTGTAAACATGTTTGGACTTTGTTATGGGGCACTGTTAATTTTACTATTTTGATTTTGACTGTTCTTTTGTGAGGCTTGTACGTCAGTTTTGGGACCACAGCAGCCTTTAGAGGAGGGCTAATTATGCCCCATCTGAGACATGCCCTGCCAAGTACTCTAATCGTGTTTTGTGTACTATGAGATTTTGCCATTCTGGCTGGTGGAAACGTGAACTACTCCTAGCCCTGCGTCAACTGCAGAGATTTTCCTCCCTGTTCCTTTCTGGTGGGTCTTTCCCTGGCCTTGATGCCTTCTCCATATATGTGTACTGACCAGGACTCTGTGGAAGGCTGTCAGGGAAGTTGGTGCAGAATCTGGAGCTCTCTGTCTATGCAGCTAGCTCTCTCCTTTCCAAGCATTTTTTCCACCCAGATCCTCTGCTCCCAGGATTCTAGATGCCTTATGCTCTGGACACTCAACTCCGCTTCCTCAACTCAGGGAACCACTGGCTCTGGGCTGAGTCCTAAATACTCTCCAGGCAATAAACTGACCACCACAGGCATCATCTCTTTCGCTTCCTCTCTCAGGAGTCACTCTCCTGCACTGCCTGATTTTCAACGTATCAACATCATTATTTTATACATTTTACCTGGTGTCTTAGTTGTTTCAAGTGGGAGGGTAAATCCAGTCTCTGCTACTCTAACATGGCCAGAAGCAGAATTCTGCCCTGTATAATATTTACGTTTTAGTGGAATGCTATTTATTTGTTTTCCATTTTAAAACCCAGCAAAGAGACAAAGCATGGAAGACTTCGTCGTAACTACGAAACAGAACTGAGCACCATAAACCTTGTCCGCGCAGAGCAGAAGGACCGCTCATGGGCCTCAGGAGCTGAGTGGTCAGTGGCTGCTGGGGGTATTCATCTTTTTCAACTTCCACAGGAAGTGACATTTTTTCTGTCTAAAACTAAGAAATTGGGAAATGGAGGCTTGTGTTGTTTATTTAGAGTTTCTTAGGACTATTAACAAAAAGCTTAATAGCCAAAAGTGGAGCTGCCATACCCTGGGGTTGGCTCCCGAAGGCAAGTCTGTGTGTTCCTCGCCTCCTTCATGCCTGGTGCCTGGCACCTGAACGAGTGAATGAAAGAATGGATGGATAGATGGGCGGGTGGTAGGTTTGAGGGAGCACAGAGGGAATGGCCTCTTTTGTCACTTACAGCTCTCCAAGTCCTGCTCCCAGAGGTCATCCTACACAGTTCTACTCCTCCCACTGTGTCATCCGAACTGCTTTTAGAATCACTCACCTGTTACCCACAGAATCTGATGCTGAAGCCCAAGATAAACCAGCAGTCCCAGGCCCCTGACAGGTTTGACCTGGAAGATATAGAAGAGGTCATTGGGTCCAAGTCCTCCGTTTTTCATCTGAGAAAAATGAAGCCCAGGGTGGGAGGGCTCAGCCAAGCTCACACATAAAGAAGTCGCAAAGCTCTGGCTCCCCAAAACCTTATTCAAGATTTCCTCCAAAGTTTTGCCCTCAAAGGAAGGGAACTGGACTGACCCGGAGAGGACCATCTGGTGACCCGTCAGCCAGAGTTGGTGTGAGCACATGCATGAGTGTGCAAGTAGGCACATGAGTCTGTGCATGTGTACGTACATGTGTGCACATGCAGCATTCTACTCAGATCCATGTCCTGGTCTTGCTTTGGGAGCCCTGGCAGGACTGCAAGGGCCTCTGCTATAGACAGGGGCAGGTGTGGTAGAGACAAGTTGGAGGGAAGTGAGAATAGGCCAAGGCTCTCAGAACAGACACAGAACAGAGGTGAGGGATGATGGTGAGCGTGTCTGATCACCGTTAGTCCCTTACAGGAACAAGAGGGGCTGGGCCTCCCTCACCACCTGCCCATGGGAGCTGCGGAATTAACAACTGGACAGAGTGGGTGTGAACTCATTTTACTCCAATCCCACTGTGACTATTGAATAGACCAGACCCTGTAGCATTCCAAGGCAATCTCAGCTAGTTGCTGCAGACAAAACCAACCAACCAGCCAAAGTTCTGCAAAGGACTCCAGAAGTCAGTCAAATCCAAATTATCAGGGGAATCCAGGCTGAGTTTGGGGGGTGGAGTCAGGAGTGGATGGACAACGGACAAATGGCTGGGAGGTGTCGGCAAGCCTCTCAGCTGTCACTGTCCTGAGCCCCCACACACTGCACAGTGGTGGCGGGGCAGGTACTGCCTACTTCCCAGGTTACTGAGGGTCCATGTCACCCAGTGAGAGGAGGCATCATCCCTGAAAGCAGCTTTGGGAGCCCCTGGCATCAGTGAGGGTGTCAAAAAGGCCAGAGGGGCAGGAAGGGAAGGGGCCCCAAACACAGCAGGGCATCCAGAGATATACAGGCCTGTGATAGGTTCAGACCTTCAAGAGGGAGGAGAGTGACATGCAGAACCAGGAGCACGGAGGGAGCTCAGGAACTGGACAGGAGGCTGGACCTGCAGGGACCTGGAGCCAGCATCCCAGGGACAGCCGAAGAGAGCCAGAGCAGCTCCTGGAGGCCAGAGCTCCTGAATGAAGGAGTCTCGTTAGCCTCTGTGGGAAAGCCAAGGTCATGCACGACCATTGGTCCATTCGTTCAATCGTTCATTTATTCACACACTCATCCACTCCTCCCCGACTCATTTGTCACCCACTCACTCATTTATTATTCCTTCTTCTCTCCACACGCAACCGGGAAAAATGCTGCTTCTTGACCAGTCAACTGCCCAGCACTGTGCTAGCCACACATGGCTTTATTTCACCCTGATCACAATTTTAAGGGAAGCTACAGTAATCCTGCCATTTACAAATGTGGAAACCTAGGCTCATGGTGCCAGCCGTTCTCCCCTCCCCCCGTCCCACCGTTCCCCAGGACACAGATCCCAAGTGCCGGAACCCAATTGGAAGGGGCCTCTGTGGGTCTTAGCGTGCTCAGCAAGGCAGGATTATAACATTTAAAAGTCAAGATGGAAGCTCTTGGTGTTCCCAGAGGTGAGCTCTTTCCCAGAAGACTTGGCGCCAAGGCCTGGCTGGGGAGCAGTTGGAGTCTGTGTCTGCAGAGATCAACGCCCCTGGCCTGGGCCAGGGGATGGGGGTGCTGGCATCCCTGCATCTCTGATCCAGCAGAAGAGGGAGCAGGCAGTGCCCAGTGTGGAGAGAGGCGGAGTGGCCCCGGAAGACCTTCAAGGCCATGGCAGAGAAGAGATGCTGGACACTTCCAGCCCCAAGTCCCAGGGGCTGCCCTGAGCCCACAGGGACCTCCTGCCAGCATTGTGGGGAATCCAAACAGGTGTCAAGGTGCCTAGGCAGGAAAGGGTTAAAGAAGGGCTGAAAAAATGTAATTTACATGCAGAAGTCTCTCTATCCTTCCCTCCAGACAACCCAAGGCTTGTGCAAGCCAATCAATATTTAATGAAAACATTTCCCTCTGACGTGGAGGGAGGCAGGTGGTGGCCTGGCTTTCTTCTGCACAGGGAACAGACAGGAGCTCCAGTTTGCAGGGCCTTGGTACACCTTTGGGGTTGAGTCCTCCTGGGCCAATGCCCGTCCCACTGTCTTGAAGGATGCCCCATCTCCTCTGATCCTGGGTTCATTCTTCCCCCTTTCTCCCAGACCCAGCTGCCTTGGAAATGGGAAGCTTCCTCCTTGTGCACTTGAACAGCCCAGGCGCCTGTACCATGCCATGAGCACTTAGTGCATACCCGCTGTGGGAATGTCGTAATGCATGAGTGGGTAAGTAAGCGAGTGGGTGAATGTGCGAAGAACTGAGTGAGTGAATGGGTGAGGGGATAAATGGGTGCATGGGGGAGTGGGTGAATGGGTGAGTGGCTGAATGAATGAGTAGGTGAATGGGTGAACAGGTGAACTGATGAATGGGTGAGTGTTGAATGGGTGAATGGGTGAACAGGTCAAAGGGCGAATGGGTGAATGGGTGAGACAGTGAATGAGTGAGTGGATGAATGAGTGAATGGATGAATAGGTGAATGAGTGAAGGAGTGAATCTGTGAATGGGTGAATAGGTGAATGGGTGAATGAGTGGGTGGGTGAATGAGCGAGTGGGTGAATGAGTGGGTGGGTGAATGAGTGAGTGGGCGAATGAGTGAGTGACTGAATGAGTGAGTGGGTGAATGGGTAAATGGGTAACTGGTGAATGAGATGAGTGAGTGGGTGAATGAGTGAGTGACTGAATGAGTGAGTGGGTGAGTGGGTATATGAGTGAGTGGGTGAATGAGTGAGTGGGTGAATGGGTGAGTGGTGAATGAGTGAGTTGGTGAATGGGTGAATGAGTGAGTTGGTGAATGGGTGAATGAGTGAGTGAGTGAATGAGTGAATGTGTGAGAGGGTGAATGAATGAGTGGGTGAAGGAGTGAGTAGGTGAATGAAGGGGTGAAGGGGTGAATGTGTGAAAGGATAAAAGGGTGAATGGATGAGTACCTTAATGAGTGAGTGAATGGGTGAGTAGTGAATGGGTGAGCGGGTGAATAAGTGAATGGATGAATTAGTGAATGCGTGAGTGGTGAGTGGGCGACTTGGTCGAGTAAAGGAGTGAAAACGCGAATGGGTAAATGAGTGAACGGGTGGATGGGTGAATGGGTGAGTGGCAAATGGGTTAGTGAGTGCGTGAATGAGTGGGTGAATAACTGAATGTGTGAATGAGTGAGTGGGTGAATGGGTTAGTGAGTGAGTGGGTGAATGGGTGAATGAGTGAATGTGTGAATGAGTAGAGTGGGTGAATGGGTGAGTGGGTGAGTGAGTGAGCGGGTGAATGAGTGAGTGGGTCAGTGAGTGAGTGGGTGAGTGGGTGAATGGGTGAATGAGTGAGTGGGTGAGTGAGTGAGTGAGTGGGTGAGTGGGTGAATGAGTGAGTGGGTGAATGAGTGAGTGGGTGAGTGAGTGGGTGAATGAGTGAGTGGGTGAATGGGTAAATGAATGAGTGGATGAATAAGTGAGTGGGTGAGTGGGTGAGTGAGTGAATGGGTGAGTGGGTGAATGAGTGGGTGAGTGGTGAATGGGTGAATGAGTGGATGAATGAGTGGGTGAGTGGGTGAATGAATCAGTGGGTGAATGGGTGAATGAGTGAGTGGGTGAACGAGTAAGTGGGTGAAGGAGTGAGTGAGTGGGTGAATGATGAGTGGGTGAATGGGTGAATGAGTGAGTGAATAGGTGGGTGAGTGGGTGAAAAGGTGAATGGGTGAGTGGGTGAATAGGTGAATGAGTGAGTGGGTGAATGGGTGAGTGGGTGAGTGAATGGGTGAGTGGGTGAGTGAGTGAATGGGTGAGTGGTGAATGGGTGAGTGAGTGGGTGAATGAGTGGGTGAGTGAGTGAATGAGTGAGTGGAATGAGCGAGTGGGTGAATGAGTGAGTGGGTGAGTGAGTGAGTGGGTGAGTGAGTGAATGAGTGATTGGGTGAGTGAGTGAGTGGGTGAGTGAGTGAGTGGGTGAGTGAGTGGGTGAATGAGTGGGTGAGTGAGTAGGTGAATGAGTGGGTGAATGAGTGGGTGAATGAGTGAGTGGGTGAATGGGTGTATGAATGAGTGGATGAATGAGTGAGTGGGTGAGTGAGTGAGTGGGTGAGTGAGTGAGTGGGTGAATGGGTGAATGAATGAGCGGATGAATGAGTGAGTGGGTGAGTGAGTGAATGAGTGAGTGGGTGGGTGAGTGGGTGAGTGAGTGGGTGAGTGAGTGGGTGAATGAGTGGGTGAGTGGATGAGTGAGTGGGTGAGTGAGTAAGTGAGTGGGTAAATGCTTTCTCAACTCCCACAGGCGCATGGTCCCAACTGCCTGAGGACTCTCCCTGTGTGGACGCACCTTGCTAGGAGTTCAGTGTGAAATGCACTGATGTGCTCATCAGCCACTAGATACCCAGACATCAGCCAGGTGTCCTGGCTGGGCAGCCACAATCCCTCCTCCCCCAGGGCTCGGGCAAACCTGGTAAGGTCTCACCTACTCCAGGCCCCTGGGCTCTTTTCTAGGCCCTTGGGGGGATGAGACACCTGCCTGGCTCCTCTCCCTGCCCCCACTGCCACTTTGACCCACTGTGGAGGCTTAGCTCCGTGGAAGCTCTGGGATCAGCCTCATCCCCCAGAAGTGAGTGATCCTGAGTCCCAGCCCCGAGCCCAGGGTTCCCTGCTTTGGAGTCTGGAATTCTCAGGCCGTTCTTCCTCAAACAGGGGACTTGCTGGAGCCACATGTGGGAGACTGGACAAGTGATCCTTGGCCTGGAGCCCTACAGCAGTGCCCGAGCTGGATGGGAAGCACACACCGCACCACACACCACACACCACGCACCACACATCACACACCACACACCACACATCCAGCAGCAGATGCCACTGCAGAGGGAAGCAGAGGGCTTGAGGAGCAAGAAGGGAACAGGGGCATCAGCAGGCCCCTCCAGGAGGTGCATTCGGCTGCAGCCTCGAGCAGGGCTGCACTTGAAGGGGGTGGCACAGTGGAGTGTGGTGCAGTGGGGGCAGCCTGAGGCATGGGGAGGCCTGCAGAGCCTGCTGGGTGGGAAGGAGGAGGCTTCTGGAAGGACCAGAGCTGCTCTGGAGAGCAGCCTTCCAGCAGGTGAGGGGCAGGGTCTTCCAGCCCAGCCTGAGCCTGCCCTGCTCTGCAGCTGCCACTGGGCCCCAGAAAGCAAGGGGCCTGCTGCCTGGGAAAGCCTCGTTTGCAGAGAGGTGACCCTCAGGGTCCGGAGTGGGGAGGGCCGGAGTGGCTGGGCTGAGCTGTCGCCTGAGGACTCTTGTGGGGGACAGTACTGGGGAAGCTGGCCTGGAATCAGGGTCGGAACTCCTGGGTTCCCTCTAAAGTGCTGAGACAGAGCTGTGGCTGGGCCTCTGACTCCGGGGTGGGTGGGGCCCTCTGGGGCACCCCCCTAGTTAAAAATTAGTGCTGAAGCAGGGTCTTAAGTCAGAGCAGGCAGGGCTCCCCTGCAGGCAAGCAAACCACAGCCTCAGCCCAGTGATTAGGCAGCCGCCTCCGTGGAAGGGTCCCAGACCTGCCTGTGATCCCTCACCCTGCAGTCTGAGTAATTCCTGAGTGACAACGATCCACACTCCCTCACCTGTGCGGACGCTGCCGGGAGAGCCCTTGCCAGGCCTCCACAGCTGGGTCTTCCCAAATCCGCCTTCCACGGCTCGTTCCATCCTGTCCTGGGGGCAGTGGGGGAGGGGCAGGCCAGGCTCTCACCCCTCACCCTGCCTGCTCCCCCTCATTCACTCATTTGCTCTTTCATTCCCTCATCCCACTGCTGTTGCTTCTGGAGCGCAGAGCTGGCCATGTGGTGGGCTGGGAGCGACAGACAAACCCATGCATGTTTTATGGAGGAGAAAACAGAAGTTCTGAGAGCTCATTTGCCCAGAGCCGCATGGTTGGAAGGCTTGTGTTCATCCCTGCTCCCAAGACTCGCGTGACTCCACAACATTCCGTAGCCCTGGCCTGAAATTCTGGTCGCCTTGTGCCCGGTGTACAGGGTGGGGGCACTCCCAGGAGGACTCAGAGGAGGCTCAGCTGGCCGTGTTCTGGGCCCCGCGTGATCCCAGGTTCTCTGATGGACACTGGGGTGCCCGAGAGAGGCTGTATGTGCTGTGGACAGAGGTGTCTGCCCCCCAGTCCTGCCCAGGCCCAGGTCCTGCTCCTGTGCCTGGTGAGGGCGGGTTGCTGCCCAGTGTAGGCCTCACCTAGCAGTTCCTGGGCACTGGCTGAGGTCTGCTCCCGCTCCGAGTCCAGGGTCTCAGCCAGGCCCAGCCGGTGAGGGAGGCTGCGTGGCCTTGTGGAGTCAGGCAGGGTAGCTTCGAAGTGGTCAGCAGCTGCCTGCTGGGGTGGCTGGGGCTGGAGTCCTCCTCCTGGCTTTCCAGGATGCACAGGCTGGGTTTGGAGTTGCAAGGGGAGATGGATGGAGGGAGGAGAGAAGCCCAGGGCCATGGCTCCCAGCTCCTCTGAAAAGCCGTGAGCTCGATAGCGTCCACTTTGCATTTTATCAAATCGCCATTTCTCACAGAAGAAGCTGTCAGCCGCCAAAATTGCTGCCTGAAAGAAGCAGGAATGAAAAGATTCACCTTGAGGACATTCCTCTTTGTCAAGAGCAGAAAAGACTCCATTTGCCAGCCGGGAGAGGATTCCGGGGGCATTGATGGCAGTGGGCAGGCTTCAGCAAATGGTCCTGCTTTTTCATGTGAAGCAAGTTGTGGATAATGCGCCCTGCATTCTGTAATTACGAACATGAATAAAAGGGCCTTGGGCATTCACCGCAGAGTGGGAGCCTGTGTACCACCCAGGCATCCAGCAGACGGTGGGCCACGCGGTGTGGCCACTGCTGTCCTGCTGTCCTGTTGGCCTGCCATCCTGCTGGCTGTTCCTCTCCAGCTGAGGCATCCTGGTGACAGTGAGCCCTGAGCCCTCCGTCTCCAGCTGCTGCCCCCATGCCCATTGCCTGCCTGCTCAGCTCCCAACTCACCCGTGTCCTTCCTGTCTCTGCCCCAGAGGGGTTTGCTAAACCATGTCCATCCTCCAGCCCCTCGGAACACCCTCCCCCGGGAAACCTTCTTGGCCCACCATCCACTGGGCTGTCTCCCATGCTGCCTGGAGCCTCACTTGTGCCCATTGTCCAGGTCTCCACTCCCGGCAGGGGTCCAGCTCCGCCTCCCTCTGTGCAGGCACCAGGTGACTCTGGGACTCAGCCCCTCCATCCATAAGGTGGGAATAACTTTTGTGTTGCAGCTGGAAGGAAGGACAGGGCCCAGAGTAGGGAATGGGCAGGGGTAAGGGAGCTAGGGACTCTGGCTCAGCCCCACAGTGGATTTGTGGGTGTTGTTGATCTCTTCCAATCTCCATGCCTCAATTTCCACATCCGTCACTGAAGACTTGTGTAATCACAAAGGGATGGGTTGGTGGTACAACTCCCAGAAAGCACTACTCCAAACCCACTATTCACTTCCCACGTCTCTGCCATTAGTATCCTAGGCTGCTGTAACCAGGTATAGGCACACTTTGTTTTATTCCTCTTTGCTTTATTGCACGTTGCAGATACTGTACTTTTTTATAGATCGAGGGTTTGTGGCAGCCCTGTGTCGAACAAGTCAATCAGAGCTGTTGTTCTAACAGCACGTTGCTCACGTCACATCTTTGTGTCACACTTTGGTAATTCTCGCAACATTGCACGCATTTTCATCATTACTGTAGCTGTGAGGGTGATCTGTGGTCGGTGATCTTCGATGTTACTACTGTGACTGGTGGAACCATGAACTATGCCACATCTCTCACTTTAAATCAAAAGCTAGAAGTGATTAACCTCATTGAGGAAGGCATGGGGAGACCCCAGGCAGGCCGAAAGCTGGGAGCTGGGCATCTGGTGCCAGTTGGCCAAGTTGCGAATGCCAAGGAAAAGTTCTATAAGGAAATTTAAAAATGCCACTCCGGTGAACGCACCACTGATAAGAAAACACAGCTGTCTTATTGCTAATGTGGAGACAGCTCGAGTGGTCTGAATACATCGAAGCAGCCATCACACTCCCTTAAGCCAAAGCCTCACCCACAGCGAGGCCCTGATTCTCAGTTCTGTGAAAGCTGAGAGAGATGAGGAAGCTGCAGAAGAAAGCTGGAAGCTAGCAGAGGCTGGTTCATGAGGTTTAACATGTGTCCTCAGAATATAAAAGTGCAAGGTGAAGCGGCAAGTGCTGATGGAGAAGCTGCAGCGAGTTCTCCAGAAGATCCAGCTCAGATCATCGACGAAGGTGGCTGCACTAAACAACAGATTTCAACGTAGAAGACACAGCTTTCCACTGGAAAAAGATGCCATCTAGGACTTCCATAGCTAGAGAGGAGAAGTCGATGCCTGGCCTCAAAGCTTCAAAGGACAGGCCCCCTCTCTTGTTAGGAGTAAAGGCAGCTGGGTGATGTTAAGTGGAGGCCAGTGCTCATTTGCCATTCCCTGAAATCCGAGGGCCCTTGAGACTTGTGCAAAATCAACTGTCTGTTCTGAAAATGGAACAACAAAGTCTGGACAACAGCACATCTGTTTACAGCTTGTTTGGCTGAATATTTTAAGCTCACTGTTGATACCTACTGCTCAGAAAAAAAAAAATTCCTTTCAAAATATGACTGCTTATTGACATGCACCTGGTCGCCCAAGAGCTCTGATGGAGACTCGCAGGAGATGAATGTCGTTTTCGTGGCTGCTGACACAACATCCACTAGGCAGCCCATGCATCAAGGAGTCTTTTTGACTTTCAAGTCTTACTATTTAAGAAATACATTTTGTAAGGCTATAACTGCCATAGACAGTGATTCCTCTGATGGATCTGGACAAAGTCAATGGAAAATCTTCTGGAAAGGATTCTCTATTCTAGAAGCCGTGAAGTATGGGAGGAGGTGGAGATATCAACATTGACAGGAATTTAGAAGAAATGGATTCCAGCCCACAAGGATGACTTTGAGGGGTTCAAGACTTCAGGGAAGCAGGAACGGCACATGTGGTGGAAATAGCAAGAGAACTAGAATGAGAAGCGGAGCCTGAGGACGTGACTGAATTGCTGCAGTCTCGTGAAGAAACTTGAAGGGAGGAAGAGCTGCTTTTTATGGATGAGCAAAGAGAGGGAACACTGTTGAAATGACAACAAAGGATTTAGAATATTCCATCAAAACTTAGTTGATGGAGCAGTGGCAAGGATTGAGAAGACTGACTCCACTGTTGAAAGAAGTACTGCTGTGGTTAAAATGCTGTCAACAGAACCGCACGCTACAGCAAAATCTTTCGGAAAGGAAAAGTCAATTGATAAGGCCAGCTTCACTACTGTCCTAAGAAATTGCCACAGCCACCCCAGCCTTCAGCTCCCACCACCTCCATCAGACAGCAGCCATCAGCACGGAGGCAAGACCCCCACCAGCAAAAGATGATGATTCCCTGGAGGCTCAGATGGTCGTTAGCATTGTTTGGCAATGAAGTGTATTTTAATTAAGGTAAGTACATTGTTTTTTACAGGATGCTATTGCACACTGAATAGACTACAGCACAGTGAAAACATCCTTTTATATGCACCAGGAAACCAAAATATTCATGTGACTCACCGTATTGTGAAACTCGCTTTATTGCAGTGGTCTGGAATGGAACCCACAATATCTCTGAGGTTTGCCTGTACCAGAGCGTGGGTGGCTTAAACAACAGAGATTTATTTTCTCACTGTTTTGAAGGCAGAAAGTCCAGGGTCCAGGCGTTGGCAGGGCTGGGTCCTTCTGGGGCTATGAGGGAGAACTCGTTCCACGGCTCTTGCCTCGTTTCTGGAGGTTGCTGGCTGTCTCTGGGGTCCGCGGCTGGTGGAAACATCACCCCGGCCCTTGCTCTCATCCCCTTGGTGTTTGCCCTGTGCATGTGTTTGTATCCAAATTCCTTCTTTTTATAAGGACACCTGTCGCATCCGATGAGGTGCCTGCCCTACTCCAGGGTCATCTCATTTTTCTACATCTACAACGACCCTATTTCTAAATAAGGTCACGTTACGTGTACTGGGGATTCGGGCTTCAACATCTGAACTCCACTGAAGCATCTAAAGCTGGTGGTTAGGGCTGCTCAGCCCCTGTGCTGGTGTGTACCCCCAACAGAGGCCACAGGGACACTCCCTCCCTGCAACCCCTTTGCCATGGGATGGTCCACGCCAGGGGGATGGCTACCTGACTGGGGGATACCAACAAGGTGGGGGCTGGTCTGAGACCAGAGTCTGCATCTGGGTGCCCCTCCAAGACTGTGTTCACACCTCTGAGAGCTGACCCACAAACTCACCCAGGACCCAGGAGCCTGCAGCCCTCAGGACCTGCCCCTGCCCTCCCTCCCCTTTCTTTCCTTTGCTTTGCTTTCTTAGAGGATACAGAATGGATGTGGCTGGTGGGGCACTCATGAGGGGCTTTCAGACCCCGCCTAGTGAAAGAGCTTGGAGCTTGAGGGGGCTTGGCCAAGTCTTCATCCCCCACCAGCGGGGCATCCGACTACCCTGTATCCCCTACGTCACTTCACTGTGACCTTGGGCCTAGAGGGAGCAGACAGGCAGGCCTCACCTCCTGGGCTGGGTGCAAATTAAGTGCTGTGATGCCAGTGGATCTGGCCAGGAGCTGGCCCGGGGCTGGCCGGGGTAGTGGGTAGCTCCCCCTTCCTTCCTCCTTCCCTCCCTTCCTCCTGCCCTTGGAAGAACAGGCTGGGCTCTCCCACCCCAGGGAAGCCTTCTTTCTCTCTCTTTCTCTCTGCTGTGAGCTGGGGGCTTCCAGGGGTGGTCTCCTCCCTGTGTGCTTAGTGTCTCCTCCCTGCCCACTCCTAGGCCCTTTCTGTTGTGTTCCCATGGCGTGGGGCGGGGTGGGGGCAGGGATGGGGCGTGAGGCCTTCCCAGTCAGCGCTGAATAGTTAAGAGCCAGGTAATGAAAGACTCACTGGGTGTTGATTGTGCCCTGGGGCCAGTTTGGGGAGGACTTATGCGTCCCAGCCCAGTGTCACCACCCACAGGCAGGTGGGAGGGCACCAGCTTAGAGGGACCTGAAGCCAGTGGAGGGCCCACAGGTGCCCAGGGAGCAGCTGGCCAGGGCCCAGAAGCCCCCTCTGCCATCCCTGCCCCAGGAGTGCCCAGTCAGAGGGGAGAGGCCCAGAAGAGTGGGTGCGTACAGGAGATCCCCATGCCTGGCAGTCCTGGAAGGCTTCCAGGGCAGGTGGGGCTGAGCCTCCTGCAGCTGGATGGGGCCAGCAGAGGTGGGCAGTGTGCCTTCAGGGCCCTGCAGCAGCTGGAGCCACCGCCTCATCCAGAGCCGTGCTGTTCAGGGCAAGGCTGCCTTCCCTCCATAATTAATTCATTGGGTCTCTGGCCCCTGTCTGGCTGCATCTCCACAAGGGAAGAAAGAGACCAGCCACCTCCTTCTCTGAGAGCAGCTTACACAGCAAGGCCCGTCAGGCTGAGCCATGACCTGGGACCCTCACCCTGCCCCTGTGCTGTGCCGGCCTGGCCCTGGGGTTCACCTACCGCTGGCTGCCTGATACCCTGTCCTCCAGGGGCTGGAGTCCGGCCCCTTTCTGGGAGCCCCCATTCCAGCCCCACAGGCAGTGTGGTAGCCAGAGCAGAACCCGCAGCCAGCAGTCAGCTGCCTCTTCCCTGGCCCCGGCTGGACGACTTCCCTGGGGTGTGAGGTGAGGACCATGCGGCTCCTGTACCGGGGGTCCCTCTGTCCCCCAGGGGCAGCGCTGAACTCCTTGCCTGGTGCATCTCCAGGTCTGATTGGCTCATCATCTGCTCCATCGCCCTTCTTCCCACGCCAGAGCTCTGATCCTGGGTGGGTGTCCAGCCTTGCTGTGTCTGAGGCCAGTGGAGACGGGCCTGGCACGGCCCAGCTGAGCACGCACGGCCATGCTGGAGCTCACCCCGCAGGATGGAGAATGACACCAGCGCAGCTGCAGCAAGGACCAGGGGGTGCCCAGGAGGCTGGAGGCTAAGTAGGGCCCTCTGGTCCTGTGGTGGGAATGAGAACAGGGTCCTGGTGGGAGGGAAGTCCTGGGACAGAGCCTGGCCAGCCCGACACATGCACGCAGTGGGAGAAGCTGGCGTTAGCAGTTCCTGGGGAAGCTTATGGTCAGCCCCCGGCACTTCTCCCGGCGTGGCTGTGGAGAAAACTGGCCACTGTGGGGAGGCAGCTGCTGGGCGAGGGGCTTGGCAGAGTGACCAGGCCCAGCTGTACACCCTTGCTGCTGTCCTGCTTCTCCATAACATCCTGTGTGGCTTCCTGCCCTGGCAGTCCTGGAGCCTTGACCCTGACTGCCCCAGGCTTGCCTTCCTCAGCTCCGCCCATCTGCAGGAGGCTCAGCTCCACCTCCCCCTGGAAGCCTACCAGGACTGCTGGCCCGGGTCGGAGGGCCTCCTGCGAGCACCCACTCTCCTGGGCCTCCTCCATCCTAGTGGGTACTCCCCAGTGGACACGGATTCACCATGTGTCCCTGGACACCTCTGGAATATTTGCTGTCCCAGTGCATTGTCCCGATTCGCGGAATGGAGTGCAGGGTTGTTGGGAGGATTAGAATAGGGCCTATCACAGCCTGGGTCCGTCTGCACCAGCTGGGATCATAGGTTGGGGCAGATTTTCTTAGTTCTGGCAAGACTGGCTTGAGTATAGAGAGATCAAGGAGCCCGCATGTCTTGGGCGTAGAGTGCAAAGGGCAGGGGCTGACCCTTCCCAGTTAGTGGGGGGTCCTAGGGAGGGGCAGATGCTGGGCCATGGTTCCGTGGAAACAGGATGCTAGGGGAGCCAGGGCCCCAGGCCTCCCCTCTCTTCTCACTGCTGGTGGCCAGGCTCCAGGCTCAGCTTAAGGATGGGCGTGGACACGCTTTCTGCAAGGGCTTGATGGCTGGCGCCTACCTTGGGCCTGTTCTGCTCTCCTGTGACTGCCAGTGGCCCCAGCACAGGTGATGGAGGGAGGGGGACAGGCTCCTTCGCCAGCACCTGCCCTCAGGGTGGCTGGACTGCCTGATGACAGCCTGCACTGACCCTGTGGTGCTGGCAACCCCGCAGGAGCCCTAGGCCCTGGTCAGCCAGGCCTTCTTGGGGCACAATGGGGCCAGGGCTGGCTCCAGAGAGCCACTCGGCCGTGGGGCGTGGGCCTCACTTTAGGGTTTCTCCTCCTCCCACTCTAAGGCACTGTGCCCACTAGTCACCCCTTGCTGGGCCTCCGGGGGCCACAGTGAGACTGGGCCAGGTACCCTGCCTGGAACCCACTTCCCTGGGAATCCTGACAGCCCCACGGGAACCACGGTAGGGACTTGCTTGCCAGTAGCCGTCAAGTCAGCCCTGCGAAGTCTGATGTTTGGAAGTGCCGCTCACAGGCCACCAGACTGCTTGCTCCTGGAGGCCCCGTTACCAGGAAGGCCTTTCCCATTCTGCAGGCCTGGGCACGGTGTGAGTGGGCCGCACTCACACTACCTCACAGTGAAGGGCACACAGCCGGGGACCCTGGAGTCCTCTGCTCCAGGAGGGTGTCCAAGCCCCTGAGACTTACCCTTTTCTGGGTGGTTCCTAGCCATACAGCCTGTTCCTGGCCAAGACCCCCACCTCCTGCCCTGCCCCTGGCCCTCTCTTGCGCCCTGAAGGCCTCCTCACGTTGCTGCTGGGCATTGCCCTGGCAACCCCTGGTCTCCATCTTCCCTCAGTCCACCCCACACCTGCTGTCAGCATCAATTTTAAACACACTCCAGAGCCTTCAAACACATTCCACAGCCTACCCTTCTGCTCAAGGACCCGCCATGGCTCCCCACTGCCATGGAATCAGAATGCCTCTGTTCAGTCCCCAGCCCTCTGCTCGGTTTCAAATGAGTGCCTATGTGGGACTGCTCAGCCCCTCCCTACATAGCCCATGGAACCTATACCTTCCTTTTGGAGCCCTTGGTGGCTGGGGTCAGGGCACCCCTGAGCAGGTGGCCCTGGGGATGGAATAGGGTTGGCTGGAGGCACCACAGCAGCTAACATGGCCGGGGCTCCAACCACCCCTTTCTGTTGTGTTGAAGGATAGGGGTTGGTGAGACCCGCCTGGCTCCAATCCAACCCCTGCCACTGGCCAGCAGCCCTTCCAAAGCAGGGGCCCCCCACACCAGTCCAGAGGGCCATCCATGCTGGTCCCCCCCTGCTCCAAAGGTGTGGGGAGGCCGGTGGTGGGTGGCGACAAGCAGGGGCACAGGGCACTAAAGCCCTGACCTTATATTAGCAGCCATGAGACTTCTGTCAGCATCCCAGGCCCCCCGGGGACAGTGTGGGGCAGGAAAGCTCAGGCTGGAGACTCCAAGGGAAGAGATGTGCCCTGTGAACTCCTAGTAGCCCCAACCACACTCCCTGAGGCCCAGGAAACTTTGTTTCAGAAATCAGGTTCTGGGCTAGGGGACAGAAAGAATGCAGGGCCCGGGCCTCCTGAGGTCACTTGTTACAGAGAAGACCCCTCCAGCTTCGGGGCACCTGAACCAGCGATGTCTGCAGAGGGCAGCCACTCACTGCAGGCCCGGGCCCATCCGAGCCCTAGGCCGAGGCTCTGTGGCTGGTTCCCCCTCTGGAGAGCAGGAAGGGCCGGGGCCTGAGCTCAGGCAGAGTGGCCCTGCACTGGGTCCCTCTAGACACCCTCAGGCCTTGCCTAAAGCTCACCCTACAGGGAGGTAGCAGGGGCTCATCTCAGGTGCCACAGGTGCTCTCGACAGAAACTGTCACCCTGGTCTCTCCGTGATCCTCAGTGGCTGGGGCCACTTCTGCAACAGGCAGCCCAGGGTGTGGTGATAGTGCCCAGCCGACCGTGAGCATCCAGGGAGCTGGGGACAGGCGGGGCCCAGGGTGGCTGCCAGCCTGTGAGGGAGGGGTTGGGCTGAGACCTGGCTCACAGGCCATCACCGAGGAAGAAATGCCACTGAAAACAAAATTCATTAGCCCCGTGGGTCCAGAGTGGACGAGGGAAGTGTCAGGGAACCCGGGCTGTGCTCCCCAGAGCGGCTGTGAGTGGAGGTCACCTAGGAGTGGAGCAGGCACAGGGTGCCCCCAGGGCTGGCCCGACTGGCTGGACGGGCTCCAGGAGCCCTGTGGATGCCATGATCGGAGGGGGTGGGCGCTGCCCTCCCTAGAGGGGCCGGGGTGGCCGGGACACTTTGCCGCCACAGCAAACTGAGTTTCTGACCATCCGTCCTCAGCAATTCCACACGACGCGGGAGATGCTTCTGGTCCCAATTGTGATTCCTTCTGTGTGAGCTAAGAGCTCCTTCTGCAGGCTCCAAGCCTGAGCTTTGCTCCAAACTGGGCACCACTGCTGTGCTCCACCTTCCTGAAGGCCGCCTTTTGGGTGTGGGCAGGTGGGCCAGGCTCGGGGCCCTCAAACAATGGGGCCAGGGCAACCGCGGAAATCGGAGCATCAGCGCCTGTCCACAGCGCAGGGCCCGTCCGGAACAGCAGGTTCCCTGCCACCCCTGTGGGAAGGGCATCTAGGGCCTGCCAGTGCAGAGCCACCCTGAACACAGTTGCTGCTGTGAACAAGCTCAGGGAGCCTCCAGGTGCTGCTGGGAGGACTGGGCCAGCCAGGTGCGCCTCGGGCTGCAGCTTGCAAGTTAGGGGAGGTGAGGTGAGGGGGATGAGGAGGTGTGGGTGGTGCTTGAGCACCAGCCTCAGAGAGACCCTCCTGGTGGCCACGTCCTAGGCTGGGACAGGCGTCTGTGCAGCCTTGTTTGCGTCCGTGTGTTCCGCAGGCTCCGGTCCCTTCAGGCGCAGCCTCACCACTGCTGGGCCAGGAGCAGGTTGGGCATCTCCAAGAATGTCCCAGGGCTGGCGCTTGGTGCTTCACAGACTCCAAGGCTCCTTGGTTGTGTCCCCAGCTCCGGGTCTCTCTGGTCCCTGGTCCCAGACCCTGGTGGGCGGCTGCTGTGGGTCCCAGGCAGGCCCTGCTTTCCACCAGCCTGGCCACAGAGTGCAGGTAAAATGGGGACAGTGGGTGTGGGGAGGCCCAGCGAGCCTGGCCAGATGTAGAGGCCCAGGCAGGTGGTTGCTCTTGGTGGCAGAGACCCGTTTCGCTTGGCTCCTGTCAGGCTTAGTGTGGCCCAGACTCTTCCTCAGGCCTCACCCCACTCTGGCCCAACCTCAAGCTGGATCCTGCCGCAGGGATGACCCTCTACATCGCTGGAACGTGCAAGGACCATGCCCAGACTGAGCCCCTACCCAGCATGGGCTACAAGGCCCTCTGGAGACATACGATGGCCAGAAGGGACCCCTGCCCATCCCTGAGCCCAGGTCAAGGCTGTGCTCTGTGAGGGCAGCTCCAGAGCTGTGCTGGCTCCTCCCACAGACAGCAGGGAGATGGCCTGGGCAGCTCTGAGTTTAGTGTGCAAACTGGAAGGCCAGGGCCTTGAGGGCCAGATGCTCCTCAAGGAGCTGAGGTCTGGCTGACCTGGCTCCTCCGATGTCGCCGTGAGCCAAGGCTGGGCAGGCAGATCCCACTGTCATGGAGCAGGCAGAGCCAGGTGACAGTTCTAGGACACTGTCTCTGGAAATTTCCCCAAGACACTTGTGAGGGTGATGTGTGCTCTTCCACCTCCACCCCAGGAGCTTCAGCCCAGCAGGCAGCTCCACCCCTGCCCAAGCCCTCCTGCTCCTGGAGCTGCTGGAGGACCCGTCTCAAACCCCTGAGGCTGTTAGACAGAGCTCTGCCACTGCCCCTTCCCTTGGCCCAAGAGGAAGTTGACATGGGGCACCCCCCCATGTCCCTCACCCTAGGCACCTCTGCTGTGGGGTCCTTGGGACTTCTCTCCACTTGGAGCCGGCTGGTCCACTTGGGGCAGACATAGCCTGAGGCGGGTACTGGGCCCATACTGGAGTGGAGGTGGGGCACCTATGATGCGCTCAGCCCACGGAGCGTCCAGCTCCTGCTCTCCAGAGCGGCCATGGCAGGGCTGCTTTAGGACAGAGAAGGCAATGGCCCCACACACTCTGGGAGGGGCTGGAAATCCACAGAGCAGCTTTGGAAAATTGGATCTACTGAAGCAGGACCCTGGCTCCACAAAGACCCAGATGTGCCCGCAGTGGGGCGGATGAATGGATACGGTGCTGCCCCCGCAGTGGGACGGATGAAAGGATATGGTGCTGCCCCTGCAGTGGGACAGATGAATGGATATGGTGTTCCCCCCGCAGTGGGACGGATGAATGGATATGGTGCTGCCCCCACAGTGGGACGGATGAATGGATATGGTGCTGCCGCCACAGTGGGATGGATGAAAGGATACGGTGCTGCCCCCGCAGTGGGATGGATGAATGGATATGGTGCTGAGCCTGCAGTGGGACAGATGAATGGATATGGTGCTGCCCCCGCAGTGGGATGGATGAATGGATATGGTGCTGCCCCCGCAGTGGGACGGATGAATGGATATGGTGCTGGATAGGCAGTGGGACGGATGAATGGATATGGTGCTGCCCCCGCAGTGGGACAGATGAATGGATAGGGTGCTGCACTTGCAGTGGGAGGGATGAATGGATATGGTGCTGCACTTGCAGTGGGATGGATGAATGGATATGGTGCTGCCCCCGCAGTGGGACGGATGAATGGATATGGTGCTGCCCCCGCAGTGGGACGGATGAATGGATAGGGTGCTGCCGCCACAGTGGGATGGATGAAAGGATACGGTGCTGCCCCCGCAGTGGGATGGATGAATGGATATGGTGCTGAGCCTGCAGTGGGACAGATGAATGGATATGGTGCTGCCCCCGCAGTGGGATGGATGAATGGATACGGTGCTGCCCCCGCAGTGGGATGGATGAATGGATATGGTGCTGAGCCTGCAGTGGGACGGATGAATGGATATGGTGCTGCCCCCGCAGTGGGACGGATGAATGGATATGGTGCTGCCCCCACAGTGGGACGGATGAATGGATATGGTGCTGCCCCCGCAGTGGGACGGATGAATGGATAGGGTGCTGCACTTGCAGTGGGAGGGATGAATGGATATGGTGCTGCACTTGCAGTGGGATGGATGAATGGATATGGTGCTGCCCCCGCAGTGGGACGGATGAATGGATATGGTGCTGCCCCCGCAGTGGGACGGATGAATGGATATGGTGCTGCCCCCGCAGTGGGACGGATGAATGGATAGGGTGCTGCCCCCACAGTGGGATGGATGAAAGGATATGGTGCTGCCCCCGCAGTGGGGACGGATGAATGGATATGGTGCTGAGCCTGCAGTGGGACGGATGAATGGATATGGTGCTGCCCCCGCAGTGGGACGGATGAATGGATAGGGTGCTGCCGCCACAGTGGGATGGATGAAAGGATATGGTGCTGCACTTGCAGTGGGAGGTGCTGCCCCCGCAGTGGGATGGATGAATGGATATGGTGCTGAGCCTGCAGTGGGACAGATGAATGGATATGGTGCTGCCCCCGCAGTGGGATGGATGAATGGATAGGGTGCTGCCCCCGCAGTGGGACGGATGAATGGATATGGTGCTGCCTAAACGCACGGTACCCACACAGTAACCCATGCAGCAACATGGACAGTCACACACAGAGCAAAGGCCGCTGGAGGAGCACGCGTGCTGAGAAGTTAGAGCGGCTGGAGCGGGGCAATAGAGAGGCTGGAGCGGGGCAAGGATGCGGCCAGGGAGCACCCATGGGGGCTGTAGCAGCCCCAGGGGCTCAGGAGGGGCCTCAAGGCGGTTATGTCCTGGCTGTCCAGGTGCTGTCACCCCAGTGTGCTTTCCATGAAGATTTACTGTCAGTCAAGTTTCCTGAAACATGAGAAGGGTGGAGTCAGCGCCAGCAGCAGGGCGGTGTTGACAGCCTGCGCCCTGGAGAGGCTGTGAGCAGATGGCCCTTCCTCCCCACAGTCACAACCCCAGGCTGCTGGTGAGAAGAACAGCAGCGGCATCCCCGTGGGGCCTTCCTGCAAAGTGCCTACCCAGGGCACCTCACCACTGTCAAGGTCATCAAAACAAGGAAAGCGGGAAACTGTCCCAGCCGGGAGGTGTCCAAGGAGGAACAATGACCAAACGCCATGTGGTCAGAACCGTAGGAACGGGGGGAAAACAAAAACACAAAAACAAAACAGACATCACCTGGGATCTTGGATGGGGTCTTGGGACAGGGAAAGACATCAAGGAAAAAGCAAGGAAATTGGAATAAAGTGATGTTGTAGTGAATCGTGTCAATATCGCTCCTTATCTCTCAGACGCTCACACCGATGCAGGTTGGTGGCAACGGAAACCAGCTGTGGGGACGTGGCAACTCTGTGCTGTCTGCAAAAATCCAAAACTGTTCCAGACAGCGGCATATTAACAAATGCTTTGGGGGCGTGGGTGCAGACGACAGGAAGGGCTGCAGAGGGTGCTTGTGCGTCTGGTGCTGAGTGCGCAGGTGCATTGCACGTCCTTACTGCTTTCATGGGGTTCGACATTTCCGTAATGAACATGGGCTTGCTGTGCAAGGCAGTGCTTGGGAACCCCTAGGCACACCCAATGGCTGTGTTGAACACGGAGCCTGGGTCGTGCTACTTGTCTCACCCTGACATCCGCCCGCTGACCCTGGAGCCCTTCCCATGTTATAGAGAGGAGAGGTGGGCAAGTGGGTGGGAGTGGCAGCTGCAGGGCGGGTCTCGGGGCCTGGCTGGATGGGTGGTGAGGCCCCGTGTGTGACCTGCGTGATGGCTGCAGGACGTTTGATGCCCAGGTGCTCTGTCCAGCCGCCTCCTGGGGTTTCTAAAGGAACACTTAGGGCAGAGCTAATGGTGTGGGTGGGGCAGGGTCATTGCTCTTAAGGGAAGGTTCTGGGAGTCCCAGCTGAGACGTGAGCTCAGCCCTTACTTGTTCTCCCATTGGCCCACTCCTGCCCCTGCACTCAAGGAGCCCCCCGGCCAGGGTGGGGTGCAGAGACTCAGGGAGGTGAGATGGGGCTGCAGGAATGAAGCCCCCAGGCCTCAGGAGCCTCTCATAGGCTGGCTTATCTAATTCCCCACATATGACCTGGCATCAATCAGGTACCCCAGTTTACAGATGAGAAACTGAGACTGGAGAGAGTCACATAGCTGGAGAATGTGGGAGCTGGGGTCAGAGACCCTGTCTTTCTATACCCAAGTATCCAGCTACACACATGGCCTGAGTGTTGGTCCCCACCCTCTGGCTGGCTCGGCCCAATGACATGTCTGGGAAGAACAGAACAGGTCAGTGGCATCAGGGAAGGCTTCCCGTAGGAAGAGGAAATTGGGGCTGGGTGTGAGGGAAGGACAGGCCCTGGGGTGCAGGGGGAGTGGGGAAGGTGCCCTGGGTTCGTGGTCATTTGGGGGCACAATCTGAGAAAACCATCAGGCAACCTCCAGAGAGACGATGGCCTCGGCTGCCTGGCCGGGGGTGATGCCTCACTAGTCAGCTATTTGGGCAGTGTGGCAGCAGCCAGTCGTGCAGCCCAGGTGGGTTGTGTGGGGTGTGGGCGCTGCATGGATAGGGCAGCCCCGTCTTCCGGAGCCCATGTGTGCTGCTGGCCTCTGCCCAAGATGGGAGGGTGCCCTGGAGGAAGGCTGTAGACTCGCTTCCAACCTCCCAACGCTCAGGGCCTCACTCTCCATTGTGCAGCTGGGGAAATTGAGGCCCAGGAGGTCGACTCGGGGAGGGAGGGTGCTGCAGTGATAGGAGCCCCAGGCCAGGCTCATGGCTGACTCATCTTGGGAGGTCACAGCAATCGATGAGGTGGGTTCCTCCTCACTTCAGCGAGGGTTCACCGTGCTGTGCGAGGAGCTCGTCCCAGCCAGAGCTCCATCTCCAGGCCACAGGCCCCTGTTTCCCCCTCCATGGCTTCCCAGGAGCAGAGGCTGTGTCTGGGGCTGCTGCCTCAATGCCGAGGATGGGCTGAGGAATAAACCTCCCTTGGACCATGCCCAGGAACAAGGGGATTCAGTGACCGCATGGGCTGGGGCAGCCAGAGGCCTGAGGCGGCAGGGAGGAGAGGGATGGGCAGGGAGGAGAGGGATGGGCAGGGAGGAGAGGGATGGGCAGGGAGGAGAGGGATGGGCAGGGAGGAGAGGGGGAGGAGAGGGATGGGCAGGGAGGAGAGGGATGGGCAGGGAGGAGAAGCGTGGGCAGGGAGGAGAGGGGTGGGCAGGGAGGAGAGGGGTAGGTGCTGCTGCTATGCCTGGCACAGCCACCGGTGGGTGCAGCAGACACCTGACAGAGATGGGGCTCAGATGGGTGCACCCAGGCAGAGCTTAGCAGTTACTACCTAAGATTCGTGCCGCCTAGCTTTTTTTTTTTTTTTCCCCCTTTTTAAGACGGAGTCTCACTCTGTCTCCCAGGCTGGAGTACAGTGGCACGATCTCAGCTCACTGCAACCTCCGCCTCCCGGGTCCAAGCTATTCTCCTGCCTCGGCCTCCCAAGTAGCTGGGATTATAGGCGTGCACCGCCACGCCCGGCTAACTTTTCTATTTTTAGTAGAGACGGGGGTTCATCATGTTGGCCTAGCTTTTTAATTAAACAGGAATCCACTTTCTGCTGCGAGGGGCTCTCCAGATGGAGTCATGGTTCCAGCTCAGGCTCCCTTAGGACATGGGTCATGGGGTTAGCCTGGCCCAGCCAGGTGAGCCGAGAGCAGACAAGAAGGCAGAGAGAGTTGGAGAGTGAGGGATCTGCATGAGGCATCCTGAGAGGCCCAGCGCTCTAGAGGGGCCCCAACAGCCAGGAAACAGGGCCTCAGTCCCAACCCAGAGGCACCCAGTTCTGCCGCCTCTTGGAATAATGCAGCAGCCAGCACCAGATGTGAGACACAGGGCAGCGAGCCCAGCTAAGCCAAGCCTGCCCCCAGCCCAGGGAACTGAGCTGATGAATGTGGTGCCATCCAAGGCTTTGCCTTGTGGTGAGCTGTTACCCAGCAGCAGGAGACAAGAGCATTCGCCTTTGTCCTTCCTCCCACACAGGCAAGGGCATGCAAGTGACACATGCACAGGTGCACACACACAAACGTGTGTACATGCAACACAGAGACGCATACACGTGCACTCGCACGTCCCAACATACACACATACTTGTGCACACATGCCATGCATGCCTGTGCATACATATACATGCACTCACACACACGTGCACACACATGTGCACAGACCCACATGGGCATACAGAAGCCCCCTGCGCAAACTCTGAACCCGAACACGTGTACAAACACACAGAGCCCCCATGCAGAGACCTCACACGCAAACCCACTCAGAAACAGACACTCAGGAACATCTTGCTGCCAGGTGAGAACACTGAGGCCTGGGGCAGGTGACACTGGGGCAGAGTCATGAAGGTTGGGGCAGTGGGGGCAGGGCAAGGCCCGGAACCTGCCCGGGGTCCTCTGCTCCACCCCTTCCCAGGTCATGTCCCTGATTCACCCTTGCCCAAAGTAGAGCTCAGCAACTGTAAATTGGTTCCTGGGGAGGGCCGGGGGGGTCCCGGGGGACTTCATCTCCTATCATCCCAGCAGGTCCTGGTCACTTACTTGTCTGTGGCTGCAGGACAAGTGCCCTGACCACAGCCCCTGGGCACAGGAGAGGTCTTGGGTCCCATACGTGCCCTCTTCCCCACTAGGCCAAAGAGGGCCCCTCACAGTCCTGGAAACACAGACCAAGACCCTCCTAGCACTGCAGGGTGTCCTGCTCTGGGCAGGGTGGAACTTCGGCCTCCGCTGTGCCTTGCACCAAGAGATTTTTGTTCCAAAGGTGTCTGTGCTTCGGACGTGTGGCTCAGGGGCCTTGAGTGGCCCCTCCATGGTAGGTTCTCAAGGGTAGAGTCTTATCTGGGAAATGGGTGTGGGAGGCAGCGTTAGGGAGGGCTCCTAGGGGATGCCCAGGGAGTGGGGTCCCCAGCCTGCAGCTGGGAAAGACTGGGTGGGAAGCACTGCTGGGTGGTGGTTGGGGTTCACGCGGGGGCAGGCAGCAGGGCAGGGTCCGGCAAGGGGTGTTGGGGCAGGCTGTCTGGACCCAAGCTAAGGTCCCCCAAGGGCAGAGCCAGTGGGGAACAGGCAGCTTGCAGCCCCCACCCTTGGAGTGGCCTTCCAGTGCCTTGCTCCAGTGAGGAGGAAGATGACAGCTGGCATCTCCCTCTGCTCCACGTGCCCTGGGTGCTTCTCATGGGGGAGGACCACATCCAGCTGTGGTGCCCGCAAGCTTCTCCCCTCCCTCCACCAGCTGTGGGTCAGAGAGGGTCAACCCACGTGCTTTGTAATCGCCTGCCTGGAGCTCTTCAATCTTTAAACAGCACTTTCTGGAGCTGAGCTCCATCAGCAAACGCTCTCCAAGAAGGGGCTGTGACTGTGACAGACGGAAGCCAAGTGGGACCCTGCAGTCCGGGGCGGCACGGCCCAACCTGGCCCTTTGCCCATGCCATGCATCTGTGTGCCCAGTCTCCTCTCACCCAGCTGCCCTTCCAGGCTGGGCTCCAGGCTACAGTCCAGGGGGCTTCGTGGATGCCAGCTGCCCGTCCCTCCCCTGCCAAGAGCCTTCAGTGGCTCCCACGCCTGCCGCTGCTGACGCCTCCCCCGCCACCCATGCAGCCTCCCATCTGTGGCCTCAGATGCCCCTCAGCTCCTGAGATGCTCCTGGAAGCACTAGGTCCTAGCGGAAGAACCCTCAGTCCACCCGTTCCTCTCCTGCTCCCCTGCCCACCGCGCCCGGCCTGCCAGCATCTCTGCTCAGCCAGGACTTCCTTGAACCTCTCCTTCTGGTTGTTCTTTGGACCCCCCAGCAGGGTTCTTCCCCGAACCCCTCCTTCCCTCCCACCGCCCTGGGCTTCTCTGTGCATGCCTTGGGGGGCCAGACTGTCTTCCCAGTGGGGACACATCCTGACCCGCCCCTCCCAACCTAAGTCACTCTTAGTTTTCTGGGGCTGGGGGCTTCCGGGTCTAAAACTGGGGCAGTCCTGGGCAGCTAGGACAGCCTGTCAAGGAATGGGCAGGTCTAGGCTGCCCACCCCAAACCCTCTCCTGGGTGGGAGCCTAGGACAGTCCAAGCCTGTCCTTGGGTGTCCGGGTGTCAGCACCAGGCCACGCCTGGGGGGCAGGCGCAATCCACAGCTGGCAGGACTGGCAGGAGAGCTGCTGGGCCCAGCTGGAGGGCAGCCTGGGGCCCAAGGAGCCTCCTGGGGAGGTGAGAGGTGACCCAGTCCATGAGTAGTGGGGTGACGGGGGCCTGGGGCTGGCAGTGTTGGGGAGGGACAAGGACAGGCCAGAGCAGCTTCTCTACGGAGTGCAGGTGCACACACACAAACGTGGGGTCCTGAGGACTTTCTGGCAGACTTCGTGTTAACAGATTGGAAAGCAGAGGCCCTCCAAGGAGGCCCTTCACGTGCCGTGGGGAGAACAGGCAGCAGGAGGGGCCAGTCTCCGTATTTCCACTTGGGAGGTTTCCTGCGTTATGGGCTGAGGAAGGAACTTGC